ACTTAACTTTACTTAATTTACCTAGGTCAAGTTACCTTTACCTACTTACACTAATAAACTAAAAGAATAATATATTAAATTATATTACAATTATAATATAACTGTAACACATAATACCCGGTTTTATAAAACCAGAACATAACTAAGGAGACAATGCCTCTTAAATTCCCTTTTAACTATTGTGATATTCTAGATAACTTATAGCTAATGCAGAAAGGCACATTGCATAAACCAAATCTATACTAGAACCAAATATAATGTGTGTTTGAATGATGAAGGTAAGATGCACACTAAAACTAAGTTTATTCAATCTTAAACTTTGTTACTGACACCTATAATCCAGTTAAACTGTGCTGAAGTTACAATATTATGTGACATGGACACACAAACATATCCTTTCTGTATAACACTGTAGTTCATTTCAGTTACAACTTCTCTTCCCAAAAGAAAATACACAATCTGTCATCAGATGCACTGCTGTATTAGTCCTACAAAGATTAGACTAAGAGGGGTACCAAGCACTACAGAGTGAGAGGGTCTTTTTCCAAAAAATATACACAAATAATTCAAGTGACTAACATTAAAGTCAAATGTTTATTTAAAAAAAGTCAGAATATAGTGGACCTTTAAGAATATTGGGATGGTTGTTCTCCCCCCCTCCCTCCATACCCTAATTACTATAATTACCTATAATTACTAAAAACATGCAAGTCCATCGTTTTTGTTTGTCAATATGTGGGACCTATTGAAAAGTATCTTTGTACCAAATCTCATACAAGTTGGTCAACATATAGTCGAGAAATTGACCGAAACCCCTCAAATTATGCTTTTTTTGTGAACTCTGACCCCCCTTAAAAGATTCAAAATAGGTAAATCCAACTTTTTTGTAAGTCAATGTGTTGGATGCATGAAAATTTATATTTATGGCAATTTTCATTTTAATTGCTGTAAATATGACTGCAAAGGAGTCTAAAATATAAATTTTGGGAGTGTTTGACCTTTGACCCCACAAAATCCTTAAAAATGCCTAAATGAAAAAGGTGTCTCGTTGTACTGAACCAAGGTATAACCCTATCAAGTTTCAAGTCAATCTGCTGAGAAATGAAGGAATGACGGTTGATTAAGTGTTTGGAAGAAAAAGAAGAAACAATAGAAAAACAATATATATCTCTCTCGGCATAGACATAATAAGAATCGACTTGCACATAGTTAGAAATAACAGTAACATGCAGATTTTGAATAAATTACTTGAAAACTATTTGGATTAATTGTTTCAAACTTCTAGAAAGTAGATAAATAATCTCAATCACACAGTTAAAAAATATCCAAACAACAGAAAGTTAAGAATTAGAACACGTGTTGTTACAGTTCTATATAATAATAATAAATATATACAGCTTATAGTTTAAGTAAATAAATATGTCATGTCTACTTACGTATTGATTTTCATTAGTAATCTATTTTGTAATAATTTATATTTGCTACAATAAGTACTAAAACAAAAGTTCCAGTATTTTATACTTGAATGTTTATAGTATATAAATCTAACCTGAATTGATTATATTTTACAGCTTAGAGGTGAAATACATTGCTAGAAACAATTAGAGTAACCTGCAAGAGTGAGGGACAGTGAGGCACAGTGGCTTCACACTTTGGACTCATTGTCATGCTGTTGTGTCCTAGAGCAAGAAACTTTACCACACTGTTCCACTCTACCAAGCTGTATGATGAGTGCCAATTGTTAGCTGGGGGTTAACCTGCGATGGACTAGTGTCACTTCCACGGGAAATTGATCACCATTCTCACCTACTTGTGTCACTTGAAATCAGAATTTGAAAACAATGGTCCTGTATACAAAGGCACAGCAAGGATTTAACTTTAAATCAAAGAGTATAGAAAGTCAACCAGAGATTCTTGTTTCATGGTTTACAGCTGAAATGTTATAGTTACTAACTCTACCAATTTTAAAAACTGAACTGGGATATCAATATCTAATTTTTTTTCAAGTTTTAATTTTGTCACTCCATATTTCTGCTATAATAGTCATACTGGTAAGCAATGTTTTGATTTAATATAAGTAAGATTATGTAGACCAATGTCTGTCAAACATTCTCTAAACAAGCATTCTAATTGAATTGTATGAAGATTATTTTAAATAACAGATAAAAAATAGTGGGGCTCAAAATACGAGATGCTGTTCAATTTTATTATTTCCACTTTTATGATAAGCTCAAAGTCAACCATTCAAGAACTTAAAACATGAATTACTTTTTTTTTCAAAATATGAAGAGTCATTCCTGTAGGAAGCAATTTTGGAGCAATCATGCCATTGTCAGATTGACATTTCTGTTCTAAGAGTTTCTGTGGGCATGCCCCCCAGAAACATTTTGAAAAGTTAATGCAATGAGATTGAATCTTGAACATTTTAACTACAAATACTGCATACACACAACATAATGTATTGAATTAAAATAAGCAAGTTTTAATACACAAATTATAGATATACATGCAATGAAAAAGTAGTCAAGCCATAGTCTGACTGGCCTTACAGCTTCCTATGGCCCTGAGAGTCAGTTAGATATTGGAGCAACCAGAAAATGATACCACACATAAAACATGTAGTAAAATTACTTGTTATTTAGAATTTGATGATTCTTTGACCTACTGTTATACAATTTAGTATTCTTAAACACCTAATTAGTTGGTACAATGTTTAAATATCTGCAAGAGGGCACTACTTTCATAGTAATATTACGTAGTTTTATAATGGGTTCATCTAGATGATGGTTAGGCTTGGTATGTATATTATAGCAAACAGAATCTTCTAAAATACTAATTATTTAAACTATTCACTGCGCCTGTCACATATACGGGTCAGACTTTTTTTTTCTTCTGTAAACTGTGGGTGTTCTGTATATTAGTTTTTGTTGCCATTGTGAGGGGTACTGATGAGAAAAGACAAAAAATGACTGACCCATTGTTCGGTAACAATGCTTGGGTGGATGGAGAGTGCCTCAACACTTATAAATACTCCTTACTAGTCGATGTGGGAAATTTAAAAATGGAATCTCATATATGGCACAGCCACAGTGAATGAGTAAAACATTTGCAATGCCCACAAAATAGGAGTTCTCTATCAAAAATAATTTAAGTTGTTTATATCCTACAAGTTCGTAATATTCGTCTATATGTATAGAACAAGAAATCACTGGTTTTATTCCTACAACATCACATTTACGTTTATCTGTCTTTTTAAAACTAGAAACCTTACTATTAACAATGCAAGTTGAGGAAAAATCTCAGACAAAATAAAAGCCATGAAGCATCACATACAAAAAAAATTAATAAAAGTCATCTTGGATTAAAATCTTAAAAACATGAAACTGGTTGAGTCAAAACAGTCTAGTAGAATTTTACATCAGATATAAAATGCTTGAAAGGGCTATAATCAAAACTGGGAGATCTGATGAAATCTACAGATGATAAAAACTAATACACTTTTTACATGCATGTGAAAATCATGAAAGACTGGATTTTATAACAAGATTATCCACCTGTAGCAGATTGGGGATAGTATTTTGAACTATTGTGCTGATCTTCAACGATCCTGATGAAGATCCATCCAAGCAACCAAAACATCACCTCCAACTTAATACAAGGTGGTGAAATTCATTACACCACAGAAAATAGAAAAAATTTCCAGACTAAAAATGGCAGACTGAGCACCTAACATTGGATGGTTTTATAAGTAAAAAAAACAAAACTTGGTATTATTTCATAAATCTAATATGAGATTTCTGTGAATAATAAAAAGATAAGTAATCGGCACCATTTTCTTATTAAGAAAACAACACAATTGAAGATATAATTTTTAACACTCGTGTTCAAGTTCTAGTTAACATTTCTTACAAATCTTCCTTTTTTAAGAATCAAAAATAGAACACCCCATCAAATTACAAGTGAATGAATTTCTAGATCTCAGTCCACAAAGCTAAGAAAATCAGAAAGTCGTTACATAAACACTTTTCTTTCTAGGACAAAATAAGCATTACATCTAATATATTAATCAGAAACTAGAATGATTCAGTGTAACAACTGCTTCACTGTAAAAATCGTACAATTATATTTCCTCCTCGTTACAATACTTAATTCTACCTCTATGCCCTTCTTTGTAAGTTCAGTAACATTTGAGCATTAAAACACAACAAATGCAGTGATAAAATCAATACCTTGCTTTGGCAAAAATATTTCATGTGAGCCTCAAAAATGGAAGATAGATTAAAATAATTTCAAGAAATGGGTTACTCTTGGACTTAATTACACATACAGTAGTTTTCACAATATTTTCACACTATCTTTCACAATCAAGAAATCATATACAAATATAATAGCTAAACATTTCCCAGAAATATTTTACAAAATCCTACATCATGCACTTAAACATTTTTTAAGTGGTACCTTGGCTAGGTTTTGAAGATAGAAAAACTGCCCTAATTTCTTTCTTAGCTCATTTTGTCCAACGGTCCTTTCAGATAAAAGCTTCAGTTTCATAGGATCCACCTATATCAAATAATCATATAATACTGCTTAGATCAGTATTTCAAATAAAACAATCACAGAAAGTTCAAAAGTTCAATTTAAGATAAATACAAAAATTCTGAGATCTGGTATATGGTTGAATGTGAAAACATGTTATCATTCGTTTTAAAACTTCAAAACGTAAGATGGATACCTACGTCTTGTGATTCAAGGATGTAAGATACTGGAGGGTCTGGCTTTGGTTCATTGGAATACCGAACTCGCAGTCTAATGGTAGCCATATCAACCTCATCTACAGCTGAAGCATAATCGTGAATCTGCATCCACACTCGTCGCAATGCCTAGAAAAAATATCATTAAGGATATTTATTAACATATGTAGGTATGCAAACACATACATGTTTATATAAAATCACAATACTTTGTTATACATGCACAAATCTTTAATACTGTAAAATTTAGAAAGTAATTTTTTGTTTTGGATCTGCATCTCTCTACATTAAGAGATAATGAAAATATTTTCAATGAACACAATTTTTTAAATTTCCGAATGCAAATTTACCTAATAATCATTATTACATATTTACCTCATTTATATTTACACTTTTACTTAAAATATATCTTATTGTTCGTTTGTTAGATTTTCAAGTGTTCAACTTGTCTGTTTAGCATATAGTATAGCAGTTTGTGTATAAAATCAATAATAACAATAGAAAACCTTTCCAACTGCTCAAAAGAACCAAGTTTCAGTTATTTAAAGTTATTTGCAGAAAATATTTTATAAATGCTCAAATACATATAGTGATCATTTACATGTACAGGAGATTGCACGAGTTTTAAAGAGTTTAGGATAGTAGATAAACATTTTTGATTAGTTTACTAAATATGCGAAATTATCAAATATTTTGGAAAAGCCAGACTTATGTTGGTTAGTAATTCAATTTACATTTTCCTTTATTACCTTCTGCTGTTCAGTAGGTTTGGTCTATATTTCATGTGCTCTTCAACAGGAAAGACCAAACTCACTCAATACAAGTTTAAGACTAATTTTTATTTTCTTGCATTGTGTATCAAAATACACACACACAAAAAAAAGAAAGCAAAAATTTTAAATTCATACAAAAAAAAAGAAGAAGAAAAGAATATATAAATAATTATTCACATATGATAACAATTTAGCAGTGTAGATGGAGCCTTCTATTAACCCTCTTGCTACGAGTAGGTCAAAGTGAGAATGTAACAACCTTTTAAGAGTTATATTCAAAATTTAATTTAGCAACTTTATCATAATTTTATATAAATAAACTTGGCATCAAAACATAGTTAATAAATCAAATTTTAATATTATATACGTTTTAAGTTCTTAATTTTATAAGGAAATATTTTTAAAAATCCTCAGTCTTCCTTTAGTATGAGTATTGTGATATTGTTCTTTAGGTCTACTATCTTCTCTAATTTATTTACCCCCCCCCCCTCTGAGAAGTACAGAATTCAAAGTAAATTACTTATTGTAATATAGATATTACTATCTATATTGAATTATGTAATGCATGAACTACTTGTGAGCATACATCATAAAGCATTATTATTATTCATTTTCTTTATCTTACCTAATCTAACCTGATAAGTTTAATTTTTACATTTTAGTTACTTTTATAATACTAAATAAACAATATACAGAATAATAATATGTAAAAAGCAGTCGGTGTCCTATAACTATTATAATTGTTTTAGTTTTCTAACTATGAGATAAAAGCTGTTAAACATTTTGCTCGTTCATAAATGTGCTTCCTGTGGGAATAAAGTTTGAACTCGAGGAGAAACAGACAATTCTCTGTACAGAAATCAAGGTAATATGATATGTCATTTGACAGATTAAGACTTTGGCTTTCTATTGGTTATAAATAATATAGTATTAAAAATCAGAGAGAACTAATGGCAATTTGTGAAAAAGAGGATGTGACAGGAGTACATAGCAAGTGAAGCTATGGTTCTGTAAACTATAAGATTGAAGGCTATAAAAATTATGCTTTACCCGAGGAATAATTAACTTATAATAAGTAATTTATGTTAAATTCTATATGTCTTGGAGGGGGTGATAAATAAATTAAAGAGGGAAGACCTAGAGAGAAAATGTCACAAATTTCATGCTTGGGTAGATTTTGGATTTTTTAAAATATTTCTTTATATAATTAAAATTTAATAACTAAATAATATTAAAATTTGATTTATTACCTACGTTTTGATGCCAAGTTTATTCATATACTAAGATAATAAAGTAGTTTAATTAAACTTTAAAAAGTTGAGACATGCATACTTTGACCTGCCCATAAAGGGTGTCAAATGTAATATGTTGAAGAATTTACACATATTTTCTAGTTCCTTTAAAAATACAGAATTAATCACTTAATTGTCACATTGACTATTAACTGTATAAATGTGCTAAACATTTTTATAACAACGAATATTTGATATCTTACAATTGAGTAATGACAATGTAAAAACTAATATTTCTAGAAACTACATGCAGTTTTGAAAAAGTTACCCTAAATTCTTTCTTGTAGTTGTCAAATAGCTTGATGTGGAGAGCGCCATCTTCAATTGCAGTGTTGTCAGCTGAAAAACACAGGCAGTCAATTTTAAAAGCATTTTGGATTAACAGACAAAAAGATATAAAAAGTTAAACCAATCATTAATAATTCAGTTATTTCCTGCACTGTATATCACATGAGGAATTGGAACATTCAACTTGAATGCCATCTTATGTCCACATAGGCTAAACTGTCAGGTTAAAGATCTAAAGGGTTCAGGTATATCCCTCCCTAGCAATCAGCTAGCAGCACCCACTGCCACAAGGGCTTTGTCCAACTAACCAATTAATAAGATTGGGAGCATTATAAAAGTGACAGTCAAAGCTGTAAGTGCAGAGCACATCTTGAGCCCTAGACTCTTCAATCTCCAACCTAATGTACTGAGCACTAGGCCACTACAAGACAGCAATCTATTGATTTCCACAGAGTAAAAGAAAAAAAAAGGATAGAAGCAGTTTAATCCACATTTAATTTGTCAAAACTTTAATAATTAAATACTTTGAAGAATAATATTTCAATGTTAATAAATATTTCACACGCATGTGGTACTTGAAGCATGCCACTTACTCCAACAAAATTTCCCAAACTCGATTCTAAGACAGTATGTGGTACACTCATCAAATATATACACAAGTGTCAAGTACTATCAAGATAGTTTGGGGGTTATTTACAATTAAATATATGCCAGTCACTAGCTTTGAAGGTTGGTGAAAAATTGTTTTTATATTATTAATGCTTTTTCAAGAGTTCATTAACTTTTAAATACACAGTACAAATGATACATCTGATGCAATATTTTTTTTGTTGAAGCATGAATTCATTAAATAAGTATTCTCTTCACTGTTTTATGGTGCTGCTATTATTGCCTCCTTACAATTGTTGTAAATCTGTTTAATATATTTACCATCAAGTCATATATTGAAATTTCATAATATAACACTGTAAACTTAGCAGTATGTTTTACAGTAATATAATTATATCACTATTTAAAGCTACTGGTGGTAATTCAGTTTAATTCTAACAATTAATGAGTGAAAGTTTTTTGTTTTGAATTTCTCGCAAAGCTACACGAGGGCTATCTGTGCTAGCCATCTCTAATTTAGCAGTGATAGACTAAAGGGAAAGCAGCTAGTCAACAACACCTACCACCAACTCTTGGGCTACTCTTTTACCCACGAATAATGAGATTGACTGTCACATTATAATGTCCCTCCAGTTGAAATGGCGAGCATGTTCGGTGAGAGGGATTTGAACCTGTAAACTGCAGATTGCAAGTCAAGCTTCTTATCCATCAGGCCATTCCAGGCCTATGAGTGAAAGTAAAGAATAATGTATAACAATATGTCAATCACACAACATTTGCTACATTCAGTGCTGTCGAGCTCTTTTGCCCAATACCAAGGCTTATTAGGCCAGCTGGAATATGACAGACACAGTAGGTTGAGATACTATTTATATTATCACACTGCAGGAACAACAATTGTTACAGCATAAGCTAGATTAAGTAGGTGAAGTGTACGTTTTATCAATTATATATCAGTTATCTACAAATAAAAATTAGGGTAAGGATTAATAACACATTATTACTTATCAATTTCATACTAAATTATTTATAATTATTATTTAATTTTCTACTTTAATGAATTAACTTTACTCATCATTCAGAAGAACTGGCAAACTATGAAGCTAATCTTATTGTTCTGGAGTGCCAAGGGGAAAAAGACTACATTAGTAATTCTATGAATTTACGAGTGAAAGTAAATTAACAATATATCACATTGAACCATTATAAAGGGGTAATAACAAGTTCCCAACTGGTCCTGAATAGTGTGTGTAATGACTTGATACAATGTAGAATTAACATCTGGATACCACTTCTTACCTGATTTTCTGTTGTTTATATATTGAGTTTTCACCAGTGATTGGGTAAAGATATGGGGTATCCCTAATGCTTTTTGGGTTATGCTAGTTTTTCACCTGTGATTTCATGGATAAGTGAAGGAATGGCATATCCCCAATGCTTTTTGGGTTATGCTAATTTTTCACCTTTGATTTCATGGATAAGTGAAGGAATGGCATATTCCCAATGATTTTTGGGTTATGCTAATTTTTCACCTATGATTTCATGGATAAGTGAAGAAATGGCATATCCCCAATGATTTTTGGGTTATGCTAATTTTTCACCTATGATTTCATGAATAAGTGAAGGAATGGCATATCCCCAATGATTTTTGGGTTATGCTAATTTTTCACCTATGATTTCATGGATAAGTGAAGGAATGGCATATCCCCAATGATTTTTGGGTTATGCTAATTTTTCACCTATGATTTCATGGATAAGTGAAGGAATGGCATATTTCCAATGCTGTTTGGGCTATACTGATTTTTCACCTATGATTTCATGGATAAGTGAAGGAATGGCATATCCCCAATGATTTTTGGGTTATGCTAGTTTTTCACCTATGATTTCATGGATAAGTGAAGGAATGGCATATTTCCAATGCTGTTTGGGCTATACTGATTTTTCACCTATGACTGGTGGATGATAATAGATGGAGTATTCACACTGTTAATTGGATTATACTGATTTTTCACCTATTATTTCATGGATAAGTGAAGGAATGAAATGCTTTTTGGGTTATGCTAGTTTTTCATCTATGATTGGTGGATAATAATAGATGGAGTATACCCACTGCTATTTGGGTGATACCAGTTTTTCACCTATGATTGGTGGATAAGGGAAGACATGGAGTATCCCCAATGATGTCTGGGTGCTACTACCACAGTTATTCTCCCACCACCTCACTCCAAAATTGCACTTTTTTGTAGTTTCTTCATCTGGCACAGTTTTACTTTTATGTTTTATAGTAAAAGTACAAGTTGTTAAATATACGTATATATATATATATATATATACACATATGCATACACACACACATATATATATTTTATATAAACTAAAACACAGAACTAAAATTACATACATTAATGATAACTTCAAAATATAATTCCTTTATTTTTCAAGCCTGCTTTCAACTGGGTTCAAATTAGTAAATTCATTCAGGATTGAAAGTATAAAATTTGAGAAAGGCATTCTCTCGAAAAATTTTCTTTCTAACAAACTTCAGGTTGTCAATGAATGTTTACGAAACCATCAGTTTACTAGTTGCATGAATGACTGAAGTTAACAGATACTTAAACGACCTTACGTATGAAACTACAAGTGAAGGTAAAATTTTAAAATATTTATATGAAGGGTCAATTCATTATAGTATTGTGAGTTAACTATAGCTTGTTTCACATTTATAGTTTCGTATTTGGAAATTTTAGATTCACTGGAGATATACAAAAAAACAAGGACATTAAAAGATAAAGACCCCACTGGGCAATTAAATTTAATATTGTGAACAACTTAAAGAGTGTATTTGTTTTAAACAATTAAAACTGTGACATTTCAGCCCATAGGAGTAGGGCACCCAGTACATCATAAATTACCTGTAGATGGCCTGCTCCTATGGGCTGAAATGTCACACTTTTAATTGTTTAAATAAAAAAGTAAAGCTGTTCAGAATATTGACTTAAAACAATGATATAATTATTGAATCATATTAATTCTCAGAACAAAATGCAATAATAAATTAACAATTGGCCACCATCAAAATGTAGACTTGGAGTTTTGTTTCTCTTTTATCAAAACAGGGTTAATATTAATTCTTCATAAATCAAATACCTTGAATTCTCACGGTCTTAAACTATTTTCTAGTGATACCAAACAAATATTCAGATTTCTGTAGCTATCTGAATCAAATATTTTATCCATAGACATGGAAAAAATAAACAATCTCCCATATTAAACATCCATCTATTCTTATCAAACTGAGTTTAGATAGCCCTCCAATTAATGTATGTTTAGAAACACACCATTGTTAAACCATGTCTAACACTCACTGTTAAACTATGTCTAGACACTACCTTGTTAAACTGTATCTAGACAATCCATTGTGAAACTATCTAGATGTTACCTTGTTCAGTTGTGTCTGGACACTACCTTGTTCAACTTTTCTACACACTACCTGCTAAACTGTGTTTAAACACCTTATTAAACCGTGTTTATACAATCCCTTGATGAAGTGTTAAGTTAAATTGAAATGAACTTATTAGGTATATGTCTTTCCCAAACAGTTTTTACTTCAATATACTCAACCTAAATTACATGCAGTTTTTAAACTGTATTCTACTATAAATAATGTGACAAACAGTAAAAAAAAAAAGTGCTTGACATAGTTAGCAGACAAATGGAAATTTATTTTAAATATTTAAGAGGTTACATAAAAACCAATAAAAATGATGAAAGAAAAGTACAAGCACAAAAATTTCCATTTAGCAAAATGATGAAAGTCTGCAGAAACTGCAAAAAAAAAAAAATAATAATCATAAAATTTTTTATATTTAAGTTATAATGCTTAAGCAGGGGGAGCAAGATAAAAACAACTAAGATTATGGCATGTGATGAAAAAAACACATTTAACTAATGATCTTTTTATTCCCTCCAAGGTGCAATAGAATTAAAAAAATCCTATTTAAGTAAAATTTATGATTAAGTACCTCTTATAATACTTTATTTTTATTAACTATTTTAAAGGAACAGAAACCAATAAATAATAATTTTAAAGTAAGATTTCACAATAAAAAATTATGACTAAACAATCCATATATTAAATATATATATTTAGAACATAATAAAGGAAGGCTAACGAATATTTAACTACCCCCTTGATGTTTTGCAAAGTTCAGGAGTATTTTAAGAATACATTCCAGTTCACTATCTGCCCATGTTCCTCGACGAAGAGGTGCAAACAAAGCCTCTTCACTGGTTGTAGGTTCAGATACTGACACATCTTCCTTAAAACAGAACACTCGACCTTCATAATGGTTGAACGAATCATGAACTTTGCAATAAATGCATCTGAAAAGAGGAAAATAGCCTTCTCAACCATCTTTAAACACCATTTCAGTTGTCTCTTATATTGTTCCTTCATTACAACTAACTTCTTTGCAGCTAATCAATAATAAATCTCCATAAGTTGCCATTCAGAAAAATTAGATAAGCAATAAATTTACTAATGTTTATGGTAGTATATTATATTAATAATTTTTTTTTCACAACTTATTACTTTCCTACATTATTTGTTTTACAGAACAACAAAGTAACTAATTACCACAGTATACCTTTTAATATGTTTTACATATCTTCACAAAATTTCGCAAGTTTTCAGTAAACATTACAACTCTTTCGTGCACAAAAAAATCAGATTTTTTAATTAAGTATTTTTACTAAAGGTTTGTCCATGAATTTATAGAGTCAGAGTGTTGATTGCTCCAAGTGTAAAGTGATTTTCATGTTAATTAAAGATATCGTAATAATAAAGATGAGGTTTCTAAACTTTCACAAACTTAATTTATGATGTAGTTCCACCACATACTCTTTACCGTGTGTTTCATAAAACTACCCACAAAAATTTATAACAACGATTCTTGATACATCATATAAATTTTATATAAAAAAACAGTGTCAAACTACTCTTTTTATTAAGTATTGGGAACAAGGCAATATAATTAAAATCAGGCAAATATAATGAAGTTATTTGACAAATATGAGTATAGCTTTAAAAACAAGATATGATAAAGTCCTAGGATCATATTTGATTTATGTCCTTAATTTATCCCCTAAAAATTTTTTGTTAAATTTCAAAGATGCTTATTATGCTAGATAAAATAATCCTATAGTCAATCAGCTCCCCAAAAAATTCATTAAAATACATGTTATAACAGAAATAAAAATATTTCAAAACTTGGACTACTTTCTCTCTCGTAACATGAAAATATTTCAGGATTAAATACAAACTTTATCCTATGGGAACCTCCTGCAGGCCGAAGGTGGCAGTCAACAGCACTGTTTACATCACTCTGAGATGGAGTTGCACGTAGCCTTTTCACTGCAGCATACAGCTTACTGCGAGAAGCATTAAGTTCATCAAGAAGGGTAGTGAGAACATACTGGAGTCCACGAATATCTCGAAACCTGTACAATCAAGTGTAACAGTTAGAACACTGACATTAACACAGCTAGGAACACTTTCCTTATCGTAAAGTTTCAGGATTAACCACTGAACTTAACTACTCTTCTTTCCTCCCACACCTAACTGTTTATAAGGTTGACATAAAACTAAATTCAAAATTTAGCAAATACTTCAATATATATTCTCATACAAAATCAATCCTTCATGTTTGAAAAATTCACGAGAGCTGTAAACAGCCCCCCCCCCCCAAATGATCCACAGGGGCTGTTAGCAAGCTGATGCTGCATTTTGGTTCTTTGTTTCTGTGGCTAAACTGAGACACGTTCGCAGAATGTCAACTGAACTATGACAACCTCCAACTAATATGGCAGTCCTTGCAGCCTCACATCAGTCAGAAAGTAGTTCATCTAATACGGATCACAATCAAACCTGTTAAAACTTTATGCTAGTCTGAATTAGCTAATAATTAATATTTAATTTCATAATAATTAAAATTTTAAAATAGTTAGTTCCTCAGTTACAAATATTTGATGTCAATATTCAACAATATAGTTGGACAATGTCATATTATTGTGCATGTAACATCACTAGTCTAGGTCGACTAAAATTAAAGTATCAGAATCATAGCAGCCAATGGAATTCCATAACAATATCTGTGAGCTTGTCTGTGTATGTAAACAACATCTGATTGTGTGGCCAATGCCGTGACAAATGATAACAGCGTCCAAATTCAAAAACATTTATTTCTTGGTAACAATAAATGAACAAGTAATGGGCCCAAAGCAATGGACATAATGAAAGACCAGAAAGGGGCCCTAGCAAGACCTCACAAAACTCATTTTATAGGTGTTTTCAATCATCAGCATGATGGCACCTGTTAAATGTGAAGGACTGCAAAATTAATAATTAATTATTATTAATTATTTTTCATGATTAACAGGTGTCACAGAACAATCCGATACATTAACAAGAGGGATAACTCAAATTAAACTTCTAAAACCTACATACCCGATAAAAATTTAATGAGGAACATATGAACAATTAAATTTCACACAATAGTTATGTGTCGAAGAAAGAAGAATAGTCAGTAACTGTTTGTGGTCATTGTAATTAGCCTTTAAGGTCTCACAACAGTATGTTATTAGTATAGAAATAAGAAATATACATGTTTAGCAAAAATGCAGTTTTACTTAACTAAATAAGTATTTGATGTTGCATTTTTGATAGGTCCTAGTGCAACTAATTATTAATTTAGCCTGTATTGAAAAATAAGCAATTGCTGTTCATATGTTCATGATGGTTGAAATCCTCAACTGAAAAAAGTGAGGGGACATATCTCTCATGTCAATCATGATTATGAGTTTTACTGATTTTTCTTATTAACTAAACATTTGAGTTGCACGGTCAATAAAAGAAACTTAAATTACCTGTGAGCAACTGAAGTAAGACCAGAGTTTCTGTTTCCTGTTAATTCATCTTTTATCTTATCAATAAATACTTCATCTTCACCAACATTACAAAGGTGCTTCAAAGCAGCCAACCACCAACGATTGGTATCCTTACTCCTAAACTGAGAACAATTTTCACGAACTGCAGTAGTGGCCTTGTCAAGAAGTTCTAATGAATTTTGAACCTGGCTGATATATTTATCCAAGTAAGAAGACCGTAACTTCTTGGCTTCTTCATGAAGACTCTCATCTCGCAGGGTTCGACCAATACCGGGAGGTGGATTGACAGTAGAAACAGGCACTGACAGTAAATGTTTCTGTGTCTTCTCATAACAACTGCTGCTGTCATTGGAAGCTGAATGTTGCACTTCTTGATCCAAATCACCTTGTTCTGGAATTTCAATTTGAGCATCTAAAAACTGTTTTGGATGGTCAGGAGATTCTCCAATATTACTAATACTATGACCTGATTTATCATTTGAATTCCCAAAAGCATGGTCACCATCTTTATTTTCTCTACCTGCATGGATCTTTCCACTCAAGAGTTCTGCAAGATTGTGGAGGGTGTGAATCTGCTGAGGTCTATCAATCTTTAAGTGCTGGCCACAGTCATCAATTGAACGCAAGACCTCTCGATATTTCTCTGCAGCATCAGAGTATTCTTCCTGAATGATATGTATAGCAGCTAAGCCTGAATAAGATACCAAAAATGCCACAGCATAGCAGATTAAAAGCTCATTGACAAAGAGAAATAGAACATATAGAGCTGAACACTTGTCGTATCATACATCTTGACTTTCTTAACAACATAAAATAAAATGAATTAGTTCTTTGCTACCTTGTCTCAATGAAAACAAAGTATATGACATTTCATTTAAAACTTGTCATTTAACAAAACAACGTTAAATTTCATGAAATAAAAATAGTTTTACAGAATGAAACATTCAACAAAAACCTAGTGAAACTGTGTACATTACATTATGCAAAAAATATCATCAACTTAACAGATTTTGTTTTTCATCAAAATTATTTGAATTAAATTGAAAGTGAACATTCACTTAACCCATGTGGTTCACACTGGCTTTGTAACATGTTTCGTAACACTATATATTGACAAAATTAGTTGTGTGTCCATGACTTTGTTGGTAACAGAGCCCTTAGTGACATATGGGTTACACTTAATAAAATATTCCTCCATTAATATTTCAATTAATCCCACTAATTATTGCAGGATCCCATATGTATTTTACATAAAAAAAGAGTAATTTCCCCCAATTTTCTTGATATTTCTTCAAACTGGGTGTTGTACCATCAAAATATTACAAGTATAATGCAATATGTGGATCCCATCAATAGTGAGTGGAGTACAAAAAAAGTCAGAAATTTGAGAGTTAATGTACTTTTTAAGCAACAGATAGGTATATATTATTTTGAGTTTTGTTTAATAATATATCATTTAATAAAGTTGTATTTCATAAAGTACTGTGAAGAAAACCTAACAGTTTTAATAAACAATCATTTTGCACCACAAGTAGTTTTTAGCTGATAACATTTTACTGTTTTCACTGATGCGAGAAAAAAAAGATCAGAGAATGTGCAATATGTGGGTACCTTAAGGTCAATATACACAAAGAAACAAATTTCTTTAATTAACAATGAATTTCACAACTGATACTGAATAAACTCACCATTGAGAGCAGCTATTAACTGACGATGAGCCTCTTCACATTCAAGCTTGGCTTTTTTAATGAGTGAAGTTAAAAGTTCTTCCATTGTCATGGTACTTTATATGTAAATAAATATTAGTTTCATCAAAATTATATAATATTAGTTACAGCAATAAACAATGTGGGTATAAAACTTTTTAAACTATAGATAAAACTTTATCAAAATCCTGCATGAAAAATTTACTTCTACAATTGAAACAAATAATTTGTAGTAATAATATGGATTAAAAACTGAATAAAACTCTTAAACTATTTTAACAAGATATTGTAAGATATTGTATTAAGGCAAGATATTGTTTATCTCATAATTTTTATTAGAATGTGAACATTTAGAATTTGGAAATTACTAATATTTTCCTTCTGTATAAAAACCTAGAAAATCCAGCAACACAATATTTACATACTCATATTAACCCTTAAATGAAACTTGAGTCACTCTACAGATTATGTAGCTTCTGTAATCTTAAATTTCAAAAAATTATTTCTGAAAGGATTTTTTAACAAACAAAAATGCCAACTTTTGTGGTAGGTTTTAATTACTGATTCTTGTGTTCTTCCTACATTCTTTCAAAGTTATTACTCTATAAAACTGTTAGTTTTATCTTTATTTTAATTCAAAAAACATCAAACACAGTTTCCTTGTACTGTTGGTCACAAGCATACGATAAAAAAAAGATTTTTAACATACCAAAATTATAAATAAGCTGACCTTTTTAGTTGTTAATCAAGGTTTCATTAAATATATTTTATAAGTTTAAAACCTATTCTATATATATATATGTTCTTTTACATTTACTTACAGTGATTTTCTTTGTGTATTCAAGCAGCTACTTAATCTGATAAACCCTAAAGTAACACTTTGTAACAAACAGTGGCTTTCTTGTTGAAACAAAACTTAACATATTTTTTACTTTATTACAGGTTACAGCTTTTGCATTAAGATTGGTTTTTTGAACAGGTACAATGTTTCAATCACTGGTACGATCCTTCTCAAGTATACAAGTTTTAACAGTGAGAATGATTGCACCAGTGATTAAAACATTGTTCTAAAACAAATCTTATTTACTGTAAAAGCTGTAACTTGTAATAAAATATACTTAATCAGTAAGTAAACTGAAAATTAAACTAAAACTTAACACAGTCACACAAAAGCAAAATGACCTAACTAAGCCTAATAATTCTCAAACTGATCTTTTAACAAAATATATTTCTTTTCTTATCATACTGCAATATCATAATTCAAATGAAGTATAAAATGATAAAGAATTCTTTGTGTGAGCTTTTAAAAAAACCCATCAGGAATGCATTAGTGGTGGAAGTAACATATCACCAAGCTAAGCTTTTATCACTCTGTTATGATCTCTATGCAGTACTTGAAGTGGGGCTTGAAGCCATCCCACCTTTTTCAGGAGAACCCGAATCCATTCCGCTACCTTTTAGTAGACTGTAAGCTTCTCAGAAGGAAATAATTCAATAGACAATGCAAAAAATATTTACAGCAGCAAAGGACTAGAGAAAGAAACTATGTCTTTTTCTAAAAATGTTGTGTAAGAGCTAGGCAGGAATGAGACAAAGTAGTACATGGATAGAGTAAATGAATCCTCTCATGAAGGGCTAACTCAATGTGACCGAGTTTGTAACCACAAAGTAACCATCAGTTTCCTTACTATAACTCATAACAATATATATCTGTTTATTCTTAACTTTATTGCTCTTTGAATCGTGTCTAGCTAATAATCTTGCCACACAAGTTGTAAACCACTAGGTGAACATGCAGCTCATATTACCATATTGAATTATGTAATGCACAAGCTGTTCACCAGCATATGTCTTGAAGAATTTTTTTTATTATTATCTTACCTACTCTAATTTTATCTAACCTAATAAGTTTCTAATTTTTACATTTTAATTACTTTTATATCAATAAATAAAGAATTTACATGGAAAACAATAAATATAATACACAGCTTCAAAAATTTCACAAACCATTCTACTTCCTCTTTTTTCCCACTTCAAGCACTGTCTCTGAGCAAATCTCTCGTGAACTGGGAGCCATATTGGCTTACACAGTTGAAAAGAGCTTTAATTATGTGTTTAGATGACTAGCCCACAATTCTCAAAACTACATAGGAAATTCACATAACACAACGATACATCAGTATGTGAAACAGTGACTGGCTAAAATCAATAAAACTACCGTATTGGCCCAAATTTAAGGTGATGTTTTTTGATTAATAATTAGGCTGTAAAATTCATAGTCACCTTATAATCCTGGCCAACCACAGGCCCCCTTCCCCCTACTCTAGCCTGTCACATTCCTGAATGTCCAGATAGCATCCAACTATGCATGCACGCCAGATATTCAAGGTCATTGCTAATTATTGCAAATAATCTACTTGCAGGCTGTTCAGTTATAGTACTGATTTTGCAGACCTAAAAAAGGATGTTATGACACTAAATTTTTTCTTTTCCATGGTTTCTGAAAATAGGGGTCACCTTATTAACATCCCAGTCCAGAAGGGAAGCCCACCACGAAGGACAATGAATCCAGAAGAAATGGATCAACAGGGAGAGCATAGGAGAGGTAAAGAGCTACTGTATCAGGAAAAAATATAGGTGTGGGATAAAGCTGCTCAATAATCGGAAATCAGGAAGACAGAGGATCCCTGATAAAAAAGCCAAATAAGAAATTCCACAATACAAGAACAGTTGGCCGATCAGCAGAAAACCTTTGACCCAGAGACCAATGGTGGAAAATGTTCCATTTACACTGATAAACTTCAATGGAGGAAGGGTAGATGGAAGAGGCCATAAGCGAAGCTACCTGTTGGGATAATCCTGATCTCCTCACCAAGGACCAGATAAAAACCAAGCACAAAGACAGAACACAGAAAGAGCGGTGAAGCACCAATGACCAAGGCTGCCAAAGAAGGGAGGGAGACAGAGGAAGAGGTAGAAGAGGGGTAAGTTGGAGCTGGATAAGTCAAGGAAACCACGGATGAGCCGGCCAGTAAGGAGCAATCAGAAGGACCTGACACACAGTGGTATGAATGATGGAAATAACCTGGGGAAGAATAAACAAAGGTATTTATCAGTTCAATCTTGACTGAAAGCATTGACAGTCAGGGCAAGAGAATGAGGTACTGGAGACCAAAACAGATGTGAGGAATACCCCACTGAAGGCAAAGCCATTGGAAAACCATAGGATCGAGAGACCACTCTGTCACATACATTCTGTCTGGACGAGAAAGACAATCTTCAACAAGATTGAAAGCACTCTGAACATGACACTCAATGATATGGTTATCCTGCGTGTGGGCCCAGAAAAGAAGATTAACACATGAAAACATAGGGATTGAGAATGGGTGACATCTTGATGATTGAGATAAGCAACCACTGTAGAATTGTCGGAATGAATCATTACCAGACAATGTCTGGCTATGTGGAGGAAATCACCCAAGGCACAAAGGACAGCGAGAAGCTCTAGAGTGTTGATATAAGACTTCTCGACTGCCAACCAACACCCCGAAGCCTCCTGTTGATCGACCCATGCCCCACCCCTCATCTCTGGAGGGAAGCATCTGTGAAAATATGTGAATTCGGATAAGGAGGAGGAAGTGGGACATCTGCCAACATGTGGTTCTTGTCCAACCACCAATATAGATAGCTGACTATGGTAGGAGGAAGGGTAATAAGAGCCTGCAAAGGATCCCACTGAAAAGCTCGCATATGAGAATGACCGAAAAGGATAAGTGTGGCCATGGAAATCCACATCCCCAAAAGTGATAGAACCTCACGAGCTGTAAGAGAGAGAGAGCAGTAAGAGCGTGGTGAACTGAAAGTTCCACTGAACGAAGTCAAAAAGGAGAAGTTTGGGCCTGACTGAGATGGGTGTTGAAAAATAACACCCAAATGGATCAGATATTGGGTAGGTTAATAGAAAGACTTCTCCAATTTAATTAACCAGCCCACTTGAGCTGCCTCCCAGAGCAGCTGATGAGTATGATAGGCAGACTCTTGTTTGGAACAATCTAACAGTAGGCAGTCGTCCATATAATAATGAAAACACATCCTGAGAGTAGGAAGATGATGAGCAAAAGCTCAAACCACCTGAGAAAGATGATTCACAGGTTCATTGGCCTGTTGGGACAAAAGGTCTTGAATTGCCTCTGACAGACACTGACTGGTAATGGGATCCCGAGGCAGAGGGAAAGAAATGGGTATCTGTGATAAAGGAGGAGGGGGAAAGGAATTGAAGGACAAGTCCCTCTGAGAGAACTCAAATAACCCACTGATCTGTGAAAAAATATTGGCAAAGGGGAACAAAGTGGCACAATCGAGTTCCCACTGGACCTGAACCCACCAAGTCAAAGAAAATGACAAGATACGGAACCCTGGAACAAAGAACAGGTAAAGGCTGAGAAGGACTAGGATGGAAAATAGGAATAGAGGCTTGACGTGATTCCGACTGTGACAAATGAGCTATTAAAGATGAAAGGGTAGAGTGCTGACGCAAGAATTCCACATGCGATTCCTAAGTGTCTGGGACATGGTCAAAAACATACCGCCTAAGAAAAGTAGCTACATGTAATTCCCTAAAGTAAGTGGGTGGCAAATGAACAAGTGACAAGGTCACATCTCGACCCAGTAGATACCAACAACAGAGAAACTACATGTGTAAGGCAAGAGCCAAGGATGACAAACGAGACAATGTGAAAGTAATAAGGGAGAGGCTTTCCCTCACAAAACCCTCAGGATTTAAGTGTAGAACCTCAGAAAGGAGAGGTATGGTACATAAATACCATAGAAGGGAAGTAAGGGCATGGGTTAAATGCACTGGAAAATCAGGGAGTGCCCCTCCACTAAACCAGCAAAATAGACCCCAACAACTGAGTCTAAAAATGGACAGTCTGCTTGATGGTATGCTAAAGCAAACTGGTCTGTAGCCATGGAAAGCAAGGCATGCTGGCACCCTCAACCAATTGGGAAGCAAAATGCTCAGCTTGAACCATAATATCTGGGGAAATAAGGCGAAGAAGAATTATTTTGCAACAAAGGAGGAGGTGGATCATAGGGAATTGGGGAAAGGGATGAAACATCACATACCTAAGAAATCATATCTAAAAATGCCATATTAGGCCTAGCTGATTCTACAGGTCGGGCGTAGGAAGACACGGCAAAATCTGGTGTGTGGGGGGGAAGGCTATCAAAATCTTCATCAGAATGAACAGGTTCGGATTGTTCGTGAGGAAGTGGGGCAACTTCAGTAGAAAGTGATTGACCCATATAACAATCAATCCATTGACGGGTTTCAAATTGTAGATTATAACTCAAATTTTAGTATTATACATTATTTAATTTCTTAATTTAAAAGTAAATATTAAAAAAACACCTAAACGTCAATTTTTGTGTGGTATGTGTGGTAAGAAAAATAAGTTTAAGAGCTTGTATCTAAATAATAACAACAATCTATATACATATATAATGTATAATAATTGAAATGTAACTGTATTTTACAAAATGCTAGTCTACTAAAACACAGCCAAGACAGGTCACTATATGAAGACTAAAGGTCAGTTTTATATTATTGGATACAGTAACATGAGTGCCACATCATT